AATGCAAAAAATTTATTGTTATACGTGGGTTGGCACCTCGTACCCCAAGCGTGTAAAACATAAATTCTACCAACTCGGCAACCGTACGTCGCTGCCGTCGGGTGCAAAAATAGGCTATTTAAGCTAGTTCAAATTTCAAAGTTATTTTTCTCGACTTAAAAGAAGCAAACAAATTTAAATAAGTTTAACTTTCTATGCTATATTTATTTTAATTTATATAATATTTATGAAAATCTGTACTCCCCTAGTCAGGTATTTTAAAATAAAATAAAATACAAAACCCAGAATTTTAATACAAAAATAGCAAATTTTTTAATACGGTAGTCATTTTTACCATGAAGACAAATCCAGAGGTCAAATTTTTTTTTTTCAAATTAAAGTATATTACATAAGCTTTAATTTAAGATATATATAAAAGTGTCAGTATTTCCGGAATACTTTCAAAAATTAAATTGAAAATATCTTAGTAACAATACGCATGTTTAAAGTTTTGACCCCCCTTGTTAAAGGGGTATGATCCGATTTACAAAAAAAGCGTGCCAGATGAAAGGGGTATATAAATATTTATTATAAAAAAATAATAATATTGATCCATACATTTTTCCAAAAGTTATATAAAATATAAATTAAATAATATAACATATAAAATCGAGATTTTTTTCACGGAAATCGTACGTTTTTCTTTAACTTTGATGTCCGTTTTCACCACGAAGACAAGTCCAGAGGTCAAATTTTTTTTTTTCAAATTAAAGTATATTACATAAGCTTTAATTTAAGATATATATAAAAGTGTCAGTCTTTCCGGAACATTTTCAAAAGTTAAGTTGAAAAAGTTCTACTTTCTATACGCATTTTAAAAGGTTTGCACCCCCCCTGTATAAAGGGAAATGGTCCGATTTTAAAAAAAAGTATGTCGAATGAAAGAAGTATATATAAAGTATTTATCATTAAAGAATAAAGTTGATTCATGCATTTTTTAAAAAGTTATAGCAACATAATGTTAAAAAATGTAAAATATAATATCAAGAATTTTTTCACAAAAATAGCATATTTTTGCATACGGTAGTCATTTTCACCATGAAGACAAGTCCAGAGGTCAAATTTTTTTTTTTCAAATTAAAGTATATTACATTAGCTTTAATTTAAGGTATATATAAAATTGTCAGTCTTTCCGGAACATTTTCAAAAGTTAAGTTGAAAAAGTTAATTTTTTGTAAAAAAGTTACCATTTTGAAACCCCATCCTTTGGGCTGTTAAAGGGTCAAATGTTCACAAAAATATATAAAATGATAGGTAATTATCTAAGGTATCTATAAAAAAAAAAATTATATTGATTCGGTCATTTTTAAAAAAGTTATGGCAATTTTAAGTAAAAAAAATTGAAAAAATATCGAAAATTAGCGATTTTTAAATTTGTAATTTTTTGGGGGATTTCCCCCGTTTACGGGGAACGAGGGAATTTTTTTCAATTTTTGAGGGTAATGTCTTCGACTAGATACGATTTGTGATCTTTTGACATATTGTTCATCAAAATCGGTCCAGCGAGAGCTGAGATTGAGCGTTCACAGACACAAAAAAAAAAATAAAAAAATAAAAAAAAAACACATCATAGTAAAATTAATACCTTCTCAGCTTCGCATCGAAGCTAATATAAAACGGTCCACCTTTGAATTTGTAACGTTACAAAGTATCAATTGCACACTAATTTAAAAAATGTCTCAACTCTACATTACTGGATTTCTATAACACTTTATTATTTGTATTTTTTATATCAAATCAACAATAAATTAAAAAGAAATTAAATATAATAATTATCATTTGATTTACTTTTTATATATAATTAACGCTTTTATTTTTCAAAAATCAACCAAAATATTTGATATATTTATTTTTTTCGAATAATCAAATTTCTTTATGAAATAAATCAATAATTTTAATTCACCTACTAGCAATTATTTTAATGATCAAAATGTATATCACAATAATGATTATGCTGATTATAAATATATTTGCGATGAATCGAATGAAATACAATGGCAAATTAGATAAAAATAAAACAATTAGGATATTTTACAAATAACAAAAAAACTACGAAAAATAATGACATGATAACATATACTCATTATAATTAGTTTAATAATTGATTTAAGATACTAATGTTTTATAACCTATATGTATACGTAAATAAACATATAAATAAATAAATTATTAAAATAATCAAATTATTCATGAGTACATTAATAATATCCTCATTGAATTATAAACTCATTGAACTTGTAAAATACATTTTATATGTACTATTTATTTAAATAAATTTAAATTTTATTCTTACTAAATAAAAAATGAATTTCGTGGCATCATTATTTGTTTTTTGGCAGTTCAATATTTCAATTATTCTATGGAATTTACAAGTAATAAATAGCTTACCCATTGTGTATAAAAGTTAACAATTAATGGATCATTTTTCAATTAAAGAATCGTTGTTTGGCTCTACCAAAAGGTACTACAGCAGTTGTTCGATTCGATAAATTTGAATGGGGTATACACAATAAGTTTGGTAAAACAAATGAAGTTTACATAAGTCAATTTAATGGATCTGATTTCTTCAACATAGCAATGACATTCTATTTTGATTGTACTTTACAAAAAGTAAGAATTCTCGTAATGTTTTATTATCGTACGTTTTAATTTGTGTTCAAATTATAGTTAAGTTTTGAAATAATTAAGTGTAAAGAGCATTACATAGATTGCGTGAACTACAGAACTTTTGAAGTTTCAAATATTTGTGGAAAAGAAAAAACTCTGTTATATTTCATCAATATGGGATACGCTAATCGCGAGTTGTCGTGTATGACTAAAAAAGTACGATTTTCTTACGTTTATGTTCAATATTGTTAATTTACTTTTTTTTAATTTTTTATTTACTCATTAGTTTTGATAACTCAATGTAACAATATTTTGTATGTTTTTTATTTATTGAAGGGATCTTTAATCATTAAAAACACAACGTTGAGTGCAAATAACATAGTCGGATCATTTGCGCTTTCGTTGGATAAGTGGTGGGAAAAATCATGGAAATGGCAATCTAAACTTTTTTCTAATGATAACTCATTTTTTGTGCAATCAAACGGTCAACTTCGATTTCTTCTTTTGAGTAGACGAACTCCTCCTAAACATTAAACAAAATTTTAACCGATTAATTATAATTTTTTATTATTGTATTACTGATAAATTTTGAATTATATAAATAATAATTTAATATAATAGGGTGAGAGCTATTGTATCTGATTGAATCAAAACTAAATAATTAATTTTTTTAGATTTATAATTTTTTTTTTTTATTATTATTATAGATGTTGGTCATTATGTTTAATAAATAATGATAATAGACATTGAATTTATCTCCTTAATTAGTTTTATTACTTCAGAAGTATAATGTAAAAGTCTATTTAAAAAAAACAATATAGTGTGGTAGCGGTACAGTGAGTACGTGAATAATCAGGACACGCAACAGCCTGGACACACAATAGATGAAATCCAACAGCGAATAAAATCAATATATGTTTATTTTTTTTGCCCATTTTATTTTAATTATTTTACATTGTTCACTATATAAAGTCGTCCCAAGAATCCGTTTTGGTATAGTACTCGAAGATTTTTATCATTTCGGTTGGTGTGCTCTTTGAAAATTAAGTGTTGACAGCCTTTTCATTTTTTTTTAAACCCAACCAAAGTCCTCAGCTTGGTCAATTATCTCCATTCGTATCTCCTTATTTTCATCATTACATTGTNACCCAACCAAAGTCCTCAGCTTGGTCAATTATCTCCATTCGTATCTCCTTATTTTCATCATTACATTGTAATCAATTTAAGGTACAGAGTATGGAAGAACATGTTTTTGCCAAAAACCATGCCAACTAAATAAAGCTGTGTAACTGTTGTCCGTCGTCGAAAATTAATGTACGTCAAATACTCGTAACAAGTTGTCACGTAAATATGATTGAACTGGGACGACCTTATACAAGAATGTCACTTATACCTTATAAACTAGGGGAAGATGACTTTATACGGTTATACCAGCCATTATCAGTTGTTTTTAGAATTTAAGCAATTCAGCAAAGGCTGATTTTAATCATATAGACTCAGTTCGCAAGATGCGGAGGAACACCTCAGGTAGACATGTACTATGTCACCTTATTTTTGTGAAAAGGTACATCACCACCGATATAATATAATAAAATAAATACACGTAGCAAAGCTACAAAAAAAAAAATGTATATACATACCGCGCGGGTGTAACATGTCGTCCTGTCGATCGACTTGTAAAAATAAGGGCACCTTCAAAATAAATATATATATATATAAGAGATTTCGCAACACTTGTTTATGGCCAAAAAAAAAAAAATTGTGTCAATGACCTATTTTCTATGTGCAAATGGTAGTCGAATAAGAACAAAAATTAGGAGCTAATTTTCCTTTTGGAATAATCTACTATTTTCTTAAAATTAACACTATCTACAGATTTGCATTGAAGCGTTTCTTATGATAGTGATTTTAATCACTGTCAGATATTATTAATACTTGTCCCAAATATGCTACGTCCATACTGTGCCGCGACGCCACTGTACTACCGTTTTTTTTTACTTGGTGTTTGCTGTAATAACACAGACCCTTGTTATATTAATATCTTTCTTTTTATTGATTTATTTGATTAATCCAATTTGTGTTTTTGTTTAACAAATTTATTTCAGTTAAATTTTGTCAGTTCAAATCCTTATCTGTTAAATTGTTTTTATTTAATCCTGCTGTTAAGTTATCATATCAATTTATTTTAAAAAAATTGACTTGAAGACCAAAAGTAGACAATATCGAGATCAACTAAACCTCGATGAAAGTTTGAAACCTAAGTACTTAACCTACTTAACTCAATCTTTGTTATTAATACGCCCTTATGACTTGTGTGAGAATGTTTGGTATATTTATTTTTTTTAAATAATCAACTTCCTTTATAAAATAAATCAATAATTTTAATTCGCCTTCTAACAATTATTTTAATGATCAAAATGTATATCGAAATGATGATGATGATTATAAATATATTTGCGATGAATCGAATGAAATACAATGGCAAATTAGATAAGAATAAAACAACTAGGATATTTTATAAATAATGAGAACAGAATATACTCATTATAATTTGTTTAATAAGTGATTCAAGGTACTAATTTTTATAACCTAGACTTATATGTACATAAATATACAAATAAATAAATTATTAAAAATATCACAATTATTCAACAGTCCTTTGAAATTTTCATTTATAATATGTTCTTTGGATGATAAACTCATTGAACTCATAAAATACATTTATATGTACTATTTATTTAAATAAATTTAAATTTAATTATTACTTAATCAAAAAATGGATTTCGTGGCATCATTATTTGTTTTTTGGCAGTTCAATATTTCAATTATTTTATGGAATTTACAAGTAATAAATAGCTTACCCATTGTGTATAAAAGTTAACAATTAATGGATCATTTTTCAATTAAAGAATCGTTGTTTGGCTCTACCAAAAGGTACTACAGCAGTTGTTCGATTTGATAAAGTTGAATTGACTATACACAATAAGTTTGGACAAACGAATGAAGTTTACATAAGTCAATTTAATGGATATGATTACATGAACATGGCAATGACATTCTATTTTGATTGTACTTTACGAAAAGTAAGAATTCTCGTAATGTTTTATTTTATGATTTAATTTTTATTCTAATTATAGTTAAGTTATGAAATAATTAAGTGTAAAGAGCATTACATAGATTGCGTGAACTACAGAACTTTTGAAGTTTCCAATATTTGTGGAATAGAAAATACTCTACTATATTTCGTCAATATGGGATACGTTAATCGCGAGTTGTCATGTATTTTTAAAAAAGTAAGACTTTCTTACATTCACGTTTAAAACTAATAGTTTATTTTTTTTAAATTTTTATTTACTCATTAGTTTTGATAACTCAATGTAACAATATTTTATATGTTTTTTATATATTGAAGGGATCTTTAATAATTAAAAACTCAACAATCAGTTCAAATAAAATAGTGAGATCCTTGGCGCTTTCGTTGGATAAGTGGTGGGAAAAATCATGGAAATGGCAATCTAATTTTTCTTCTAATGATAACTCATTTTTTGTGAAATCAAACGGTCAGCTTCGATTCCTTCTTTTGAGTAGACGAACTCCTCCTAAACATTAAACGAAATTTTAACCGATTAATTATAATTTTTTATTATTGTATTACTGATAAATTTTGAATTATATAAATAATAATTTAATATAATAAGGTGAGAGCTATTGTATCTGATTGAATCAAAACTAAAAAATTAATTTTTCTAGATTTATAATTTTTTTTTTTTATTATAGATGTTGGTCATTATGTTTAATAAATAATGATAATAGACATTGAATTTATCTCCTTAATTAGTTTTATTACTTCAGTAGCATAATGGTAAAAATCGATTAAAAAAAAAAAACAATATAATGGTGTATTGGTACAGTATCAATATCGATGCAATGTCCTTTCCTGCTAGGATCCTAACAGTTGGCTAAGCTATATCTTAAAGGGTCAACGTTGGCCCTATGTAATTTATATCCCACTAGAAGGGCAGTTAGCGGTTTCGTGACGTTTGTGCTGGTCAGGCACTAGTGTGGTATTGAAATGCTAATGTTGATGAAGGACAAATAATTTGTACGTTACGTCGTCTTCGTGTAATCGACGGTTATACATTTATATAACCACCGTTATCAGTCTTTTGCTTGTAGAATTTAAGCAATTCAGCAAAATCAGCAAAGACTGATTTTAAACAGTTAGACTCGATTCGCAAGACGCGGGGGAACACATTGGGTAGACTTACCTATGCCGCCGCATTTTTGTGGAAAGTTACATATAATAAATTAAATACACGTATCCAAACTACCAAAAAAACCCAGCACAGGGGGGTCACGGTACAGTGGTGACGTGGCATAGTTGGATCAAGTATAATGATATCTGATAGTGATTAAAATCACTATAAAAAAAAAACGCTTCGATGAAAATCTTTAGATAATGTTTAATTTTAAAAAATTGGGGGATTATTCCAAAATAATGATCTGCTATTTTCTTATTAATATCCTGATTAAGATAAAGTATGTTCAATGAAAAAGGGATATAAATATTATTTCTCATAAAAAAATTGTGTTAAACCATTCACTTTTCAATAAGTTATATCATTATAAAGTTAAAAATGTAAAAAATAAAATCGAGAATTTTCACACAAAAATATCATTTGGTAGCCATTTTCACCATAAAGATAAGATAAAGTCCGAAATTTTTTTTTTTTATATTAAAGTACATTACATTAGCTTTAATTTAAGATATATATAAAAGTGTCAGACTTTTCGTAACACTTTCAAAAGTTAAGTTGAAAATGTTAATTTTTTGTGAAAAAGTTGTCATTTTAAATCTCCCCCTGTGGGCAGGTATAGGGTTAAATTTATAAAAAAAAATATACCAAATGATAGGTAAAGACATCAAGCATCTATAAAAAAAATTATATTGATTTGTTCGTATTTAAGAAAGTTATGGCAGTTTTAAGTAAAAAAAATTGAAAAATTTCGAAAATTAGCGATTTTAAAATTTGTAATTTTTTTGGAAATTTCCCCCGTTTACGGGGAACGAAATGAATTTTTTCAATTTTTGAGGGTAATGTCTTTGACTAGATACAATTTGTGATTTTTTGACGTATCGTTGAAAGAAATTGGTTCGGAGTGAGCTGAGAAAAAGTGGTAACAGTCACAAAAAAAAAAACACATCGTAGTAAAACCATTACCTACTCATCCTCGCATCGATGCTAAAAGTAGAATTTTTTTAAATGTTTCAGATATATTGCATGTTTTAAATATATGTTAAATTAAAGCTTATGTTACGTATTGTTGTATTTAAATACGAAACAACCTTTTTTTATTAAAGATATAATCAAACAATGTAAAACATACATAATAAAGATACACTTAAAACACAATAAAACAATACACAAAATGAAAACTTAATGTTATAAACGTACCACGGGAAAAGAGATTACCTTCATTACTCCCGAAGTCTTCTCTTCCGTTCAATTAATTCCACTTCGTCTTATATACCAAAATATTTTGTTTTTCTTTTTTTACAAACTTCATAATACAATCATTTTCAAAAATGTTTATAAATATTTACTTCCTGGTCTAGTAACAATAATTCAGGAAATTATAATTAATCCAAACATTACAAAAATATTTTACTTCTAGTTTTACAAATAAAAGACTATATTATATTAAGAAACAATTGATCAAGAAATTACAATTAAATCAAACATTACAAAAATGTTTTACTTTCAGTTTTACAAAATAATGACCTATATTACACTCCCCTATGTTGAAATAAAAAATATGTCCTCATATATTAAATTAGTAAATTTCTATAATTAAATGATAAACAGGAGGGAATAAATTGGATTTTTTTTTTAAGTGTAGTGAAAGTTAAATATATCTTTAAGACAATGAACTGAACATATCTCTTTCTTAAGTAGTTAAAAATGTGTTTACTTTAAATCGAGTACTTTATTTGTCATTAACAAACACATTCACTTCTTTACATGTTGTTTTATTATTAATATCCATATATTTTGTAATCGTTTTATTTTTTAACTTTTTATAAAGGATAGAAAATGATTGAAATGATTTATGAAAATTTACTTTTTGTTTAATTACAATTATTATAATAATAGTTAGAAATTTAAAGTTATTTTATTATTATTGTTATGTATATGCAAGTATATATTTTTCTAAATTTATCTGAAACCGTACAGGATTAATTTAAAGATATAATAATATTAAAAGTATTTAATATTTATGTATACGTTTATTTACAGTCAAATAACTAATATAATTATTAAATATATTTGCATGAAGTCTATAATAAATTTATTTGTATTTAACTGTCACTTATACACTACAAATAACCGATCTGTTAGTGATGAATCATTAAACGTGGTTATGTTTTCTTCGTCTAGCAAAATTAATTTTAGAATATAAACGAAAAATATATTTTTTTGAAAATGCTTCCCCAAACGAATAATTGAAATATTTTTTAAACTATAAATAAAGTATTTTTATTGTTTTTGTTACTCGAATTAATAAATATACTTGTGTCTTTAATCGTGCTGCTATTCATTTGTCTCCGTTTTTATAATTTCGGGTATTTCATATTTTTTTTTATTACCAATTCAATGATTGATTTATATAATTTATTATGATCAACTTGAATGTTTCCTGTGGATAGGGGGTAAGAATACTTCCACATTGGTCATAATACGAGGGGAGCAAAAGTATCATTATGCCCCCCTCCCACAATAAAATCTGACAAAAAATTTATGACTAAAAAATAAAATAAATAATTATTATTTGGGTTAAGTTAAAAAATGTTTTTAATAATTTCAATAAAAATAATTTTAATAAAAAAAAACGGTAGCACAGTGGGTTTACGGCACAGTATGGACGGGATATATTTGGGCTAGTATAGATGATAGATGCAGTGATTAAAATCACTATCATAAACGCTTCGATGCAAATATGTAGATAGTGTTTAATTTTAAGAAATTGATGGATTATTCAAACAGCAAATGAACTCTTATTTACTTATTTATATCTTGATTATTAGTTCTTAGATAAGTATAATTTATGAATAAATATTTATTATAGCAATTAAATATAGTATGAAATTGATATTTAAAAATTTAGTATTGTAATTTTTACGGAGAAATTATAAAAAATTATTAAATAGATATTAATTTTATGTCAAACGTGTATAAAATTTTAAGGTATAAGGTTGAAAAGTATTGCATGGAAACTTTTCAAAAAAAAAATTGTTTGTTACTTATAAATAAATTTATTCGTCTACAAGAAATTTTCATTGCATAGAAATACTTAGTATGACTTCTATTTAAACAATTTGTTTACCGTTACATTGTTTGTTTTATTTCTTTCTTCATTTCCCTTCTATTTTAAATGTTTATAATTTTATTAATACACTAATTAACTAACCACAAATAAAAAGTATAAAAATGTACACAAAGCGAAAAACCATTTAATCAAGATGGTTCAATCAAATGGAGTAAAAAAATAAAATCCGCATTAATAAAAGAAAAACATTCCGGTAACTTGTTTTCTAAAAGTTATCAAACATGCAGTAATTTTTAATAGACTTTTTTTTTAAATACGCATCATAACCTTTTTACGTCAGTCAAATTTAATTTAATTACTATTAGATATCCATCTTCTTCTTCTTTATTTTTCTTGCCTTCATCTCAACTACTAGGTGTGGCCCACTCTTATCCCAAACTACTAACACGTGACACGGATCTACCCCCACAACATCTACGCATCAGTTATCTGATTTCTTTATTCATCCCCCTCTCTTACTCATCCGTTTAAGCTATTTTGCCATGCTACACTTGTTCTATGCTCTATTTTCTCAGTCAACTGTACGATACTCTAAACCATACGTCGTGAACGATTTCGGTCATTGAGCCCGAACACTAATCTTTTGGTCTCATCGTGATTCTCTTGTTGTCAAGCACACCAGACTCTTCTCTTCACGTGTCCCACCCAGGAGCGTATTCACAAATTTTCCGCCTGTAGGCATTTAAAAATTGGCCACCCTTCATTACGTTGGACGGAGTGGTCTCATTTATCAAAAAAAAAAAATAATAATATTTAAAAATATTTTTTAAGCATATCTATGTTTATTATTAATCATAAAATAAATTGCTTGTAGCTATTAATATACATATCATAAATACACAATAAATTTTTTAAAAACTAGTTTCCCCACCGCACCATTTGCCAAACTGTTAGATACGTCAATATTGGTTGTTATTAAATAATGGATATTTTTGACAAATATTGTTCATATAGTAACCCACCTGTATCGATAAGTGACATATTATGGACTTTTTGCCGCAAGAGAGCTTACTGATTTGCAGATGAACAACCAATGTAAATATCTTTTGCTGTTGAAACAACCTTTTCTCTAGCACTGCTTAAAATCTGATGGTTGTACTCATTAACTGAGTGGTTCGTGTTAAATATGCGAAGTCCACTTGGACAAAGTATATCAACTTCAGCTTTAGGAAAAAATCGTGATTGTATTAGAGTCAGTTCATAATCATCAAGCCTATCACCATTGCCAATTTTAGTTAGGATAGATGCGAATGGTACATTAGCCTGTCTCATGACTTGGTTTAGCCCATAAAATTGGCCCAAAAATATTTATTTTTGGTGGCAGATAAATTGAAGTCGCTCGAACTAGTGGTAGTTAACGCAAGTCACCGATGAAAATAACATACAATCCTCCTAAATTTTCCTTGAAATTGCTTGTGATTTGATGAAGATGTTCATTTATTTTGATTAACAATTCAGCGCCTATCACACTTATTTCGTAGATAATGATGACTTTAACATATTTTAACAACGCGCGATATTGATACGTAATTTCCAAAGACAATAGCAGCAATTTAGATATCGATATTTTAAATGCCGTTTATATTAAAAACATTCAATCAAAAACTTACATCACTTATTTTAGTTACCATAAGCCTATTATATCTTATTTTACATAGAAAAATAAAATAAATTAATTTCAATTGAAAATAAAAATTTTACGTGTATTTTTTTTTAATTTTATCACAATATAAACCTAATATTCTATCAATTGAATGACTTTGAATGAAGTTTCACTTCATCCGTGCGTACTCGTAACACGCACTTAGTTTTTTTTTTGGGTGTTCCATCTTCAATGGACTCGTGTATTTTTGTATTCATTTTCCTTTCAAAAATCAACTCTCCCTAGTTTATAAGGTACGGACAGCGGCCTTGTATAAGGTCATCCCTGATCATTATAGTTACAGTGGCGTATTTACGGGGGGGGATATGGGGGTCATATCCCCCCCCGGGAGGTTTTTTAAAATAATTTTTTTGATTATTGAATGAACGAAATTATGAAAATGAATGTTAAAATCAATATTGAAAAAAAAGTGAATTTTTTTTTTTTTATAAAAATGATAGTTATGAGTTAGACCTCTATTGTTTTATTAAATATTAAATAATTTTGGTAACACTGATGATCACGAGTTGTGAAGCGTGCTGAGAAGCAACGTAAACGATAAACGCGTGTAAATAACAGTTATGTTGTTCAAATTTACTGTTGGGTTAAGGGAGTTTTAATGTAAATGTGATTTGTTTGATTGTAAAACATGAATACTAGTTCAATGGGGAAAAGTAATAAAGAATCCATTTTAAATTTTTTCAAAAGGAAAGTTTCAAATTCACCACCAGAAAATAATTCTATTTCTACTGGTTTGGCGACAAAGTAATATACCCTAATATTTATGGGCTTCTTAAAATATTTTGTACATTGCCTGTGTCCACCGCTACTCCTGAGCGATGCTTTTCCAGCCTAAAAAGGATTAAGTCCTATCTTAGGAATAGTATGACAGAAGTAAATATATTTTCTATTTATTATTGGAATACAATTATAAATTAGTATTAAAATAATAGTTTATTTTTTTATTATTAGACTAGACTTAATGGGCTGGCTTTATTGGCAATTTACCGGACAATAGAAGTTTCACCAGATGAAGTCATAAATGAACTTAGTATTCAAAAAAATAGAAAATTGGATTTTGTGTTGTAGTTAATTTAAAAATTGAAGTATTTTGTAAATAATCTTATTATATAATAGAACAAGGAAAAAAACGCTTTTCTGGGAAAATTACTTAGCGTGCTCGGATTTTCAAAATTTTTTTTTTCAACGAAAGTACTCGGTCACCAGACTCCGGGAAAATTATTGGCGAAGGTCGGAAAATTTTTGCCGCTCGCCCGCGAGCGTTTTAAAATTTCGACCGTTTTCGAGAAAAACGCTCGCTGACGCCAGCGTTTTACGACTTAAGGTTTGAAATTTTCATCAGACCCGCCCAATGACATTCCTGACATATGATAAAAAAATCAATTCAATCCGTTCATTTTTCACATTTTACGAGCTTTTTTTTTAAGTCCACGCGCATGGTTGTATTATGCGCAGTGATTCATTTCTGCTGATACGTATTATGAACCTTATTTATATGGTGTATTATGTATTATTAGTAGGACACTATTTTGCATTTGCCCTATTTTTATCAAGGAATAATTTTCTTTTTTCTCATATATGATGTATGAGACTATGAGTTTATCCTTTGAATTGGGGTTCATCTATGATAACTATGATGTTCATCGTTAAATCGCAGTTACTAATATATTTATCAAAATTAAATTTTTATTTTTATTTTTAATATTAATTTTAATTTAAATTTACAGTGTGCCACTTATAATAACCTGCTAAATTTTTTTTTAATCATTCTATAATATAAAAACAATTATTATAATTAGATTATTAATAATTTTTGTGTATAACAGGGGTGTATTTAAGAGAGATTGGCCCCTCCTTGAACAAGCGCTATCAATATTTTTTTAAGGCCCCGGGTCTAGGGCGGAGCACCAGCTAGGGGGAGCCTAGTTAGTGTATAATAACTTAATAATATTGTGTTTTAATTAAGTGATAAGTTGGTGAATTTTAAAAATTAAATTTTTATGTTATGTTATTTAGTTTCTTGGACTTTGTGGGGTGGCGGGGAGGGGGAAGCCCCCACAAGTCTATGGAGAATTATTCATTTCATCCCCCCCCTGAGCAAATTTGTAAATACGCCACTGTATAAATATGTGACAACTTAGGTTATCACGAGGTTCTGGTGTACGTCAACTATTAACGAATCAGCGAATATCAAATACCTTTATTTCTTTTCTATTTTTTTGTATTTTTTTAATTGCTTTTAATGTACAATACTAATTTTTAGCTTCGATACGAAGCTGAGAAGGTATTGGTTTTACTAAGATGTGTTAAAAAAAATTTGGAATGAGTTAATTTGATGCATACTATTATACGATAAATTGGTTGGTGAAAAAACTGCATTATTATTATATCTAAGGGAAAAACTTGACGCAAAATCTATGAATTGATCATAGAAAATATTTCCATTATATAAAATTTATATAGTATAATAAATAAGAGTTATAATATTTAATATTATAAAAAGTAAAAACTACTTAATGAGCTCTGATTTTCAATTTTTTAGCTGCGATGCGAAGCTGAGAAGGTATTAATTTTACTATAAAGTGTTTTTTTTTTTTTTTGNTAAGCTTTAATTTAACATATATTTAAAACATGCAATATATCTGAAACATTTAAAAAAATTCTACTTTTAGCATCGATGCGAGGATGAGTAGGTAATGGTTTTACTACGATGTGTTTTTTTTTTTGTGACTGTTACCACTTTTTCTCAGCTCACTCCGAACCAATTTCTTTCAACGATACGTCAAAAAATCACAAATTGTATCTAGTCAAAGACATTACCCTCACAAAATTGAAAAAATTCATTTCGTTCCCCGTAAACGGGGGAAATTTCCAAAAAAATTACAAATTTAAAAATCGCTAATTTTCGAAATTTTTTCATTTTTTTTACTTAAAATTGCTATAACTTTTTTAAAAATAACCAAATCAATATAATTTTTTTTATAGATGCTTGATGTCTTTACCTATCATTTGGTATATTTTTTTTATAAATTTAACCCTATACCTGCCCACAGGGGGAGATTTAAAATGACAACTTTTTCACAAAAAATTAACATTTTCAACTTAACTTTTGAAAGTGTTACGAAAAGTCTGACACTTTTATATATATATTAAATTAAAGCTAATGTAATGTACTTTATTATAAAAAAAAAAAATTTCGGACTTTATCTTATCTTTATGGTGAAAATGGCTACCAAATGATATTTTTGTGTGAAAATTCTCGATTTTATTTTTTACATTTTTAACTTTATAATGATATAACTTATTGAAAAGTGAATGGTTTAACACAATTTTTTTATGAGAAATAATATTTATATCCCTTTTTCATTGAACATACTTTATCTTAATCAGGATATTAATAAGAAAATAGCAGATCATTATTTTGGGATAATCCACCAATTTTTTTAAAATTAAACACTATCTAAAGATTTGCATGGAAGCTTTTTTTTTTGATAGTGATTTTAATCACTATCAGATATCATACTTGATCCACCTATGCCACTTCACCACTGTGCCGTGACCCCCCTGTGCTGGGGTTTTTTTTTTTTTAAATCCTACTGTGGTCCGACAAACCATTGTCTCGCCCAGAGGGTTGGCAACCCTCTTTTGTATTTTTCAATGTGCCATGAAAGGTTGCGGATTTTATCCGTTGTGGCCAATTAATTTAATTTTTTTTATGATATGACCTTTCAACGGTAAGACAAGGCAGTGCAAATTCTCCATATTAAGAAATTCAAGCAGGTGTTCCTCAAGGAAGTGACTTGTCTCCCGAACTCTACAATATTTTTACCACAGACATACCCCAGTCTACCAATACTCTTCTTGCTACATTTGCAGACGATACAGCTATACTCTTTACTTATAGTAATATTATTAAAGCTGCCCATCATCGATAAACACACGTCAACATCATCGAATTTTGGTTCAAGAATTGGACAATTAAATTAAATGCAAATAAGTCAAGTTATGTAAAATTCGCCCTCTGATCTGAAAAATGTCCAGATATAAAATTAAACGATACAGTTATTAATACCCATAATAAAACTAAGTACCTAGGCATAATTTTGGATAAACGACTGACGTGGAGACCTTACCTGAAAGACAAAAGAAAAAAATCAACAGTAGACTTCATCTTTTTCGTCCATTACTAAAATCAAAATTACCTCTCGAAACAAAATTATTTATTTATCAGTCAATAATCAGACCAGTCTGGTCTTATGGTATTCAGATATGGGGACCAGCTAAACCATCCAACATTCGACCATTACAATCCTTTCAAAATAGAACATTACGAGTGTTAACTGGTGCGC